GACTGACTCCCTCGTGTGAATAAGTTGTGGTAATGAGCACCCAACGGGGGATTCCACAAGGTAAAGGTGGAAGCAAGCCAGGCAGTCGCTCTGTCTTTTGCTCCTCCGCAGCCGCAGCTTACTCTGCCAGTACAGGAAGTTGAACGTTTTACACGAGACGAGAAGGGTGTCTGTTGCCAAGTCACATGACAGACAGTCAGGAAAAAATCTGAGTCTAAGCATACTTTCGCTTCTCCAAAGTTCATGTTTCACTAGCCGCCCAGTAAGCGTCGGTGACCTCATCCGCAAAGCTCACATTCATGACAGCACGATGTGTTAATGAATTACCCGTTAGGAGATTCCCATCTTTGACACCATCTAAGAAATGTTACATGTAAGCTATGCATAGCTGTAGCTATCTGATATAGTTTATTTTATTATTATTTTATTATTTAAATGGGTAATAAAGATTATTCGGGATTCTGCGTGGTCTGGCATTGCAGGAGGTGCTTGGGGTGAGGGGAGGTGGTGACCTTGTGAGTGACTGCCCTGGGTCACATTCACCTGAGTGGTGTCCCTGGGTTCTAGGGTTGTTCGGGGCCCTTGAGGAGGTTCCAACTCCCAGCGACCCTGCCTACACAGAAGGAGGTCCACCTGTCACAGGCCTGTGAGGCCATTGAGAACACCTGGCTCAAAGGAACTTTCCTGCTTTTCAGCACTCTCAAGGGGACTCGTGCAGCAAATGGGCAGCACAGGTCCCCAGTGGAGCATGTCGTTAGCTCTCTCCACGGCTTGTCTCCATAAGCTTTGCTTGAGGCTCTAAGACGAAAACCTTGACATCTTCAATCTTTTCTCCGTTTATCGGGATGCTCCCCATCGGTCCACTGAGGAGGATGTCGGTCTGCTTTACACGGAGTTGTAACCCTTACTGCAGGCTGCGCTCCTTCAGCTTCATCAGCAAGAGCCTCAGCTCCTGCTCACTTTCAGCAAGTGACACTGTGACGTCTGCATGTCTGTCGCAGGTTGGTAACAAGCCTTCCTCCCAGTTCTGAGGCCCATGTGCTTCATATAATGTAGCTTCTCTACTTGCAGTGCATGCGCATTGAACAAGTACAGGGAGAGGATACAACCCTGGCCCACACCTTTTCTGACTTTAAACCAAAGAGTATTCCCTTGTTTGGTTCCCACAACTGCTTCTTGATCCATGCACAGGTTCCACAGGAGCACACAATGACCACAATGGAAGTGCTCTGAAATTCTCCTTCTTTTCAAGGCTAGCCATTGTTTGTTATGATGCACACAGTTGAATGCCTTGGCCTAGTCAATAAACACAAGCAAACATCATTCGGTATTCTCTGCTTTTCGCCAAGACTAAGAGCCATCTGGCTTCAGCAAATGGGGGTGCTGTAAATCAACATGGACTCCTTGTCCAATAGTGTTTCAATAGAATTTTCATGTTGACTTATTGCCCTCTGGTGGTCTTCTTAAGGCATTGTCCACTAATGCTCTGGCATGCACTCAGTGTAACATAAAATAACTTCTTCATAAAAAAGTTCTTCATATAATTCTGGGGAATTGAAAGGGAGCCTTGATGGTGCAGTGAGGAAGCATTCAGCTGCTAACCAAAAGAATGCCAGTTCAAACTCGCCAGCTGCCCCATGGAATTAAGTTGAGGCTGACTGCTTCCTTAAAGGTAGACTGACTTGGAAAGACCATGAGGCAATTCTACTCTGCCCTACAGGGCCACTGTGAGTCTGAAGCTACTTGATATCAGTGGGTTTTAAAGAAATAGAATATTTTACTTCCTGGGCATTGGGAACCTGCTATTTGCCTGGAAAACAGAAAGATGTCTGGAAACTGTCTCAAATATGTTTAAAATAAGTAATACAATTCTAAATATCTAAGGGTCCCCTCACAAAAATTTTAAGAGAAACATGACAGGATTCTGAATGAAATTAAAATGAAACAAAGCACATCAAAATGTGTGGGATGACAACAAAGTAGCACTTAGGGAAAATTATATACAGCACCAAGCCATAGCGATCAGAAAAAAAGAAAAGTCTCAAAATGACCTCCACTTCCATCTTAGAATCTAGGGGAGGAAAGGAGCAAATGACATGCCAATAAGCACAGAAGAAAGGAAGCAAGATAGGTTGGAGAAGAAATCAATGAAATATAAAACTAAAAATAATAAGGAAATCAATGAACCCCCCAGGCAAATCAATAAGATGGAAATGACCAATATCAAGATAAGAGAGATGCTATCACATACAGATTTTACGAAGTTTGAAGGACAACAATGGAGTTTTACGAATAACGTCATGCCATCAAAACATACTTAACGTAGATGAAACAACTTCCTTGTGTAGACACAAGCTACCACGGATGACTCAACAAGAAACCAAACCGAAACCAGACGCACTGCCATCCAGTCCATGCGGGCGCCCAGCCACCGCTGCTCACTGTTCACGGGAGTAGAAAGCCCAGTCTTTCTCCTGGTGGTTTCCACCTGCAGACCACGGAGAGGGAGCCTTGCCCAACGTGTAACCACTACCTCCCGGGGCTCCTACCAGAAATAGGAGGTGGGTGGTGAAATGAGGCCAGATTTAAGTCTTGCTCTAAGGCAGCGGTGCTCGACCTGTGTGGGGGTCAAACGACCCTTTCACGGGGATCACTTGATTGATAACCGTAGCAAAATGACAGTGATGAAGTAGCAATGATAATGATTTCATGGTTGGAGGGTCACCACAACCTGAGGAACTGCACGAAAGGGCTGCGGCATGAGGAAGGTTGAGAACCACTGCTCTAAGGCATTGGACACCTGAGCGAAAGCGCCTGATGGGTGGCCAGAGAAGCCGGCATGCAAACACCGCTGCTCTGTGCACTGGGAGCTGAGGTGTCAGAGCAAAGGTGGATCTGAGAAGGAAGCTGCTGAGAGCTGACCGTCCGCGTCTGCCCGGTGGCCCACCTCTGCTCTCTTCTTTCCTTTCCTGGAATATGCGTCCTTTCCTTTCCCAGAAACTCTCCCGTGGAGGAAAGAACAGGCAGGCCCCAGAAGTCAGTGCCAAAGTCCTGGGGAGGCTGGATGGGCACTTCCAGTTACTGACTGAATCACTTTTCTAGTCAGTTGAGGTGGGTCCCCTATTTTAATATTTGCCATATCTTTAACCTGAACAAAGTCCATCTCTCACAGGCTGCGAGCTGCCGAAGCACAAACTCCGTCGGGGAAGGAGTTCAGCCAGATGGAGGGAGGGCCTTCATCTCATGCGCTTCAGCCAGGCTCCCAAGAGAGACCGTGCCTGGAAAAGGACATTATGCTTCGTGAGAGGGTCCGTGCCAAGAAGGTCTCAAACGTGACACCCGCTGTGAGGATGGCCCAGGCCCGGGCACTGCGCTCTTTCTTTGCACACGGGGTCGCTGAGTTAGCATGGACTCACAATGTGGTGTCTTTTTTTTTCTTCTTTCTTTCATGACACGAGTTCAGCTGCATCAGGCATATCAGTCCATCTCCCTGAGGGTCTTTCTCTTTGTCGCTGACCCTCCACCTTGCCAAGCATGATGTCCTTCCAGGACCGGGTTCCTCCTGAGAACATGTCCAAAGCATGTAAGAAAAAGCCTCTCATGCACTTCTGCCAAGACAGGTTTGCTCATTCTTTTGGCAGTGCTTGGTACGTCCAATACTCCGTGCCAACCTTGTTGTGCATTGGTATTTCCCTTTCTATTAATTACTGGTTAATTTTTCCCCCCACCTAATTGGATTGCTTAATTTTCTGTAGATTTGTAGAGGTTCTTTGCATATGTTGGCTATACATCCCTTTACTGGGTAGCAGATACCATTTTTCAGTTTATAGCAGGTCCTGCTTTAAAACAGAAGCATCCGGCCTTTCCTTAAGGTTTGCACTTTGATTCGATCTTCCCTCAAGATGCTTGCCAATGTTTTCTTTTAAAATTTTGGTTCACCAGTGTTCTGTTCAGCTTGGTCTTGGAAACATGTGGAATGAAATGTTTTGGACGGTGTGATATGGAGATCTCATTTTCTGTCTCTCGGTAAGAATCATGGGTCCCCTTTGATATATTTAAATTGGAAAGTTTCTATGCAATTGAAATTCAAAGGAAAGCCCAAGGAAAGAAAAAAACGATGGAACGCAGACACCTTGTTTCTGCTCCAAGACTTCACCGTGTCAGGAGCTGAGCAGAGTCGCTGACAGACTCCGAGCCACAAGCAAACCACAGGCCGGGTTTTACTCACGTCCTGCAATAGTCCAAGCATGAAATTCCCGTGGTTTCATTTCCCCCTACTGAACTGCCCTGGCCAAAGGTCAGATGGGGCGGGACCGACCTGGTTCTTGTCTCACGGCTCTCGGCTCTCGGAGGGAGCATGGAGCAGAGGCTCTCGCAGCTTTCTGGGCCAGGCGAGAAGGAGGGCCGAAGGCCTGCCCCTAGGCCCAGAACAGCGTCTTCAGGGTTTCCTCCCCAGCAGTAAGGAGGCCTTACCAGAGGGGCCCCAGAAAGAGGGCGATGCTCCGCTCACGTTCTGTGGACATGTGATCAGGAGAGGCCAGCCCCAGGAAAGGGACATCATGCTTGGGAAAGCACAGTGTCGTGAAAAGGAGGAAGACCATCATGGGGATGGACGGACCCCGTGGCGGCACCAATGCGCTCAAGTATGCCAGCGATTGCGAGGAGGCGCAGGACCCTGCAGCGTTCCCCGCTGTGCAACATGGGCTCCTTGTGAGTCAGAACTACCGTGGGCCCTAACCGTGAGAACAAGCTCCAGGAGGGCTTCCAACGAAGGGCCTCGTTAGGAGGTTCCCTCTGCAGCGGCCCGGGCTAGGATGGGGGGGTGCAAAGGGTATGCCGGTGGGGCGGGCAGGGCTGCGTCCTGGAAAAGCTCACTTCAGGCTCTGCAGGGCCCTGGCCGGACACTGAGTCAGGGGGAAGGCAGCTCTCTCTAGAGAGAGCTGCCTGGAAAACCTTGGCTGACCATCAAGCCTAAAAGCCACAAGCAATTTTTCAGCCAAGTGCTCTCTCCTTAGCAACACAGACACTGAAGTCAAAACAACACAGAGAAGATTAGCATGGCCCTCCCTAAAGAGGGCATGCTAATTCGTGAAGCATTCCTCTTTTTAAAAATGTTGTTTTAGCCAGGAGCTGAACTCTGCATAACTAATAGATCCATAGTGAGCTATGAAAGGAGAAGGTAGAGCTTATTTGGAGGTGTGGGGAGGGGGGCAGGAACAGAGCATGGAATATGAGGGGGTACCCCCCCTACACACACGCACACACAAAGGGGCAAAAGCTCCCTGGGCGGAGTTTTCATAGTACACAGCATGGAGGGACTTGCTCAGAGTTAGTGCACCCAGTGGCGTCACCTGGGAAGGTTCTCTCTGGTCACAGTGAATTTTTTTCATAGAAGCAGTTTCCATCAAACCTCATTTTTTTGTGATGGTCGATTTAAGAGAACAGTGTGTGGCTGTGAACTTTTGTTTCCTGCTCAGGAAAAATGCCACATAAATGTTGTGATGTTGAGCATATAAGGACAGCACTTTGGGAAAAACTCAAGTGTATGAGGGGTTTTCTCATTTCAAAAAAGGTGAAATGTCTATTGATGACAAACCTCATTCTGGATGTCCATCAACTTCCCAAACAGGAAAATGTCAACAAAATTCACACACTTGTGTTCAAACACACAGGACAGACTTTAAAAAAAATTTTCCCAGACTTTTCCCCCAAGGCCATTCTGACCCTGAAAGCAAACAGCAATCAAGCTCGTGGAAGATGCCATCATCATCTCTCCCAAAATAAGCTCATCAAATGAAATCAAAGATCAAGATGATGCTCACTTTTTTTTTTTTTTCATCAAGGGGATAGCACATTTGGAGTTCATTCCACCAGGTTAGACTGTCAATCAAGCTCTCTATTTAGAGGTTCTGAAAAGATTGCGTAACAATGTGTGACCCAAAAAAGCCTAATTTGTGGCTGACAGGGGACTGTTTTTGCCACCATAAGAATGTTACCTGCTCACACAGCCATCTCAGTGTGTGAGTTTTTGGCAAAAAACAGCATGCCTCTTTTGACCCATGCACCTGACTCACCTGACCTTGCTCCATGCAACTTCTTTTTGTTTCTGAGAATCCAGTGGCACTTGGAAGAACTAAGATTTGAAGACTTAGAAGAGTTGAAGCAAAAGACTAGGGAGGTGCTATCAGCCATCCAGACAGATGAGTTTGAAAAGAAGGATTCCATTTCCAAGAATGGAATAGCAGATTTCATGATTGTATGAAATGTAATGGAGACTACTTTGAAGATGATAAGGTTATTTTGTAAAAAAGTTTAAATGCATAGCTTTGAAAAAAATTCCTTTTTGGTGGGGGGGTATATCCCCTTGTATCTCTAACCTTGAGATTGATTTATGGAAAATTGTTCCACAAAAATTTAACATAACAGGATACTGATCTAACTCAGTGTGACAGTTTTTGTATTTGTATGCACACATTAGGGCTTCCAGTAGGTAGGTAGAGAAAGACCTAGGCTAGGAGCAGGAGCCAGCGCCACGCCACAGCAAGGACACAGATCTTGTGGGAAAGGGCGTGCTTTTCTACCTCGATTTGGAAAAGCACACCCATGTGTTTAGACTGGGCCCTTTGAGTGCCCAGACACTGCCTTTACCTGTCAGACACGGCTCTAGCCTCTGAGGATACAGCAATGAACAAGACAACACTCTCCGTCTCAGGAGATCTTGCACCCTCGTGGGAATAGGAAAGGAAATATATAACATCAGTACATGTATGCTGTATGTGTGTGTATATATATATATATATATATATATATATATATATATATATATATATATAATAAAGCATGTGGGGGCACAGTTACCATTACTTACAAGACAGATGCAAACACTTCTTGGAATTGGCTTACTGGGTTTGAAGATTTTAGGACCATAACCTCATGGGACAACTCAGTCAATTGGCATAACATAGTTCATGAAGTTTAGGCTCTAGATCCTGGTTCAATGAATAGCGTCTGAGGCCTTGAAAACGTAAAAGCCGCCCTTTAAGACACATCTATTGGCCTTGACTTGTCTGGAGCCAAAGAGGATGAAGGAAATCAGAGGCTCAAAGAAAAAATTAATTCACCGGACTAATAACCTCCATGAACCACAGCATCTATTTTGAAACCACAAGGACTAGATGATGTCCAGCTACACTGTGACCATTCTAATCAGGGACGCTGGATAAAGGGGGAGATAAATGTAGACTAACATTCAGATTCTTTCAAAAGACTAGACATAAAGGAACAGCATAGACTAGAGGAATTCCTGAGGCTCCTGGCCTCAAATAATCTTCAACTTCCAGTCTTTAAACTTTGTACTGAAAACCACACCCAGAGATCACCTTTCGGCTCCATAAAAGATTAGCTCATAAAACAAACAATATCGCCTATGGAGTACTAGTTTTCCTTAAAAAGTATCTATCTGAGACCAAACAGCGCTTGTTTCAACATTTATAGTGAAGATTAGAGGGTGGGGGGTGGGAAGAGGGTGCCAAGAGGAGACTGGGGAACCAGATTAACTCGAGTAATGGAAATAGAACCAACCGAATGGAAATAGTAGACGTTTTGACATATCGTGAAGAATATAACCCACGTCACTGAAAACTTCGTACAGGAACCACCATGAGAACCTAATCTCACGTATCAGCTTCCACCGACACCACTCCTGAAATAGCGCATCACGAGTCCTAGGTGCTGAAAAGCAAAGCCAGGTTAAAGGGACTGGGGGTGCTTGCTACGTTCATTTGATCAGAAACATAAATTGAGTAAGACAGTGAGTCCCCAAAAGGAAGAGAAAACATTAAGCATAAAAGCTGGACGATGAGCATACACAGAGCAGAGCAACGCTGGAGCCCTGAGCTGAGGGGAGGTCGGGAGGCAGCCAGGAGCCGGATGCTGCGTGACCGGGGAGACTCCATTAAGGATCTCAGAGAGAAATTCTCTGAGAACTGAAAGAGACTCAAAACCAAAAAACACCCTCACTACTCAGCTGTTCCTTAGGTTTCTGAGACTGCCCACCTTTCCAGGGGCAGAAAGCCTCCTCTTTCTCCCAAGGAACAATTGGTGGTTTTGAACTGCAGGCCTGATGTGTGGCAGCCCAATGCATAAACCACTAACACAATCTAATTTGCTATTTAAGCTGATGCTTCTACTGCCATGTGAAAAACAGACTTCTGTAGAGAGGTAGTTAGAGTGGAAAAGGGACACAAATAGATAGACATTATAGTATCTAAGCAAGACCCCTGGTAGTGTGGTGGTAGGTGTTGGGCTGCGATCCCCATGATCGGCAGTTCAAAACCACCAGCAGCTGCTTGGGGAAAAGAATGGGTTTTGTCCTACTCCTGTAAACAGTTACAGTCTCAGAAATCCACAGGAGATTGCTACAAGTCAGTATTGACTCGATGGCAGTGAGTTTTAAGCAAGAAATAATAGCTGACCTGGACCTCCTACACTTGGACCTGGGCAAGAGTGGCCCCTACACTTAGTTCTGTGTTTGGGAGGCCCTGTTCCGATCCTTTCCCAGCCATGTCCTTCCTATGAAGTTAAGGGTCTGAAGGGCATAGAGGTCGTGCCCTCTCAAAGCACATGTACCTCCCCATGTCTAAACCACACTATGGATACCCAGAAACCCATCTATTTCTGTCCAAGTTTCCTTCCCAAACTTGTCAAAACCAACTCCCAGCCTCTCCTCTTGAGGGAGGACACGCCACTGGTACTCACACTTCAGTGCCCAAAGAGTGAATGAGTGGCAGCTGCGGGTGGGGCTGAGAGTAGACTAGGACTTGGACAAGGGGCTGCATTAGGCCCACTGTGGGCTGGGAAGAGCTGGAGGTGGGAAGGGTAGAGGGTAGGTGGTGAGCTAGAAGCAGCCGATGGGCCGGGACAGGCACTCCCCACTAATTCTAACCGGACCTTGCACATCATTATGAAGGATTAGAGCAGTGGTTCTCAACCTTCCTAATGGCGCAACACTTTCATACAGTTCCTCATGTTGTGGTGACCCCCAAGCATAAAATTACTTTTGTTGCTACTTCATAACTGTAATTTTGCTACTATTATGGATTGTCATGTAAATATCTGATAGGCAGAATGTATTTTCACTGTTACAAATTGAACATAATTAAAGCATAGTGATTAATCACAAAGACAACATGTCATTATATATTGTGAAATACTTATTTCTAATGACAAATAAATGAAATTTTTCTTGAAGCATGGTGTAACAGTCTTCACACCAGGTACTTGTATGTGGGCATATCTGCATGTGGGCAGCCCCACCTGGAGATGGATAGAGGAGCAGTGTCTCAGTTCCTAAGACCATCGGAAATATGTGTTTTCTGATGGTCTTAGGCAACCCCTGTGAAAGGGTCGTTCAACCCCCAAACAGGGTCGCGACCCACAGGTTGAGAACCGCTGAGTTAAAGGTAGTTATGCTGGGGTGTTTTCACATCCATCTGACTCACAGGGAACCTCTGGTCCTGAACCATTTTCACGATCGTTGCTGTGTTTGAGCCCATGGTTGCCACCATTGTGTCAGCCCATTTCTAGGAGAGTCTTCCTCATTTTCACTGATACCTTTCTCCACGTCCAAAGTATGTGAGAGGAAGTCCCTCCATCCACACTTCTAAGGAACATTCTGGATGTACTTTTTCCAAAGCAGGATTGTTGGGGGTTTGGGCAGCCCATGGTAGATGTAATATTCTTCACCAACAGCATAATGAATGGCATCTATTCTTTGGTCTTCCTTATTCATTGTCCAGTTTTCCAAAGTTTTTGAGGGGAGGGGGGTGTTAGTTACATAATCTGGTGTCAATTTGGGACTTGAGAGGATTAAGAGTGAAGGGGTGGAGTCTAGGCTGTCAATCCGGTCATAGCCAACAAGGCCTCTGTGTGGGTATAGCCTTCTCCTGAGAACTCTGGGAACTCCTGTTTTTCCTCCTTGGAGTCAGAAGACACTTCTCTCTCTGCTCACTCCGTGAGAGGTGCTTTACTGACAAGACACGTGGCGCTACACCCTGGAAGCTGGAGAAGTCACATGGACCTACCCTGATGCAACCAGACCTCTGGAGCC